AGGATCAGTGCCGAGCTCCAGCTGAAGCCTGGCGCTGATCCTGGTGCTTCCACTGAGCCCTGACGTCCCGAAGAAGTGCTGATCCTGGCGCTTGCGCTGAACCCTGACAGCCCTGCAGCTCCAGCCATCTCTCGCTCAGGCTTCTGTGGTGCTGCCACTGGTTCAGCTCATTCCCCTCCCCCGCTACCACTTTTCTAGGATGGTCGCGTACCACCTGCCAGGTGCCAATGTACCACAGGTGGTACCCGTACCACTGGTTGAAAAGCCCTGCCCTATACCATTTCAGACAAATGACTGTCCAATCTCTGCTTAAAAACCTCCAGTCACGGAGCACCCACAAACCAGATTCAGATCTAACAAATGAATAAGCAGTAATAATGTATTATAACATTAAGCAGAATAAATTTCCGAACAGTTTGTTAACTTGTATGCCATCTCAGTCATAAAGAATACAATCAAGGAATTAAAATAGGTGACATTAGATGCTTTCCTTCCAGCTCTCTCACTAATCTATAATCAACTGAAGCTTCATTTCTCATGATTTGATCAATGACCAGTCTCTTACTATATTGATGCATTCAAACAGCTCAACAATGGAAGCACATCTGTGTCATATGTAACTGTTGTTCTGTAAGGCTATGTAAAGCTTGGGATTTGACTTAGAAGAAACCCTTCAGACTGTGTATGTGTGAAAGCAATGTTTCTCTGCCTCTCATTAAAGCAGCTGCCTTTGTAAATCTGTTCTAAATTGAACCATTATATGCCTCATATAATTCATATAACGTACATTCTATGGTTAATTCATATGGTAAAGATAAAACTTTACTAGCTAAAATTTGCAACCTTCTGAATTCCAAATTAGCCATTCTAAAGCTTTATCAGTTAAAGGTGTTCCACCTGTTATCTCCAAACAAATCAGTCCTTATTTGTGTAGAAAGGGGTGGCCCATTTTTGCTGCTTTGAAGGACCTAAGCCCCTGGGACTAATAATGCTGTGAATCAAGCGACGTTGACTTTGCTCCCAGTCTACTTCATTTTAAATTAGAATACGGTTTACCATAAAAAAAAAAAGAACCCCAATGACAAACAATTGCTCTTTGATCCAGTGCTGTAATAGCTGTTTTATTCCTGACATGTATCAGCAGGAGCTCAGATGGCATTCAGGGGAATTATTTATTTATTTCCGTTGAAAGCTCCAGGCCGCCCTGCTGGTTATAATGAATTTGTATTTGTCAAATAGGCTTTCCGCTTAAATAAAAGGTTAATGATAAACAACATTTCTTGAACTGCTGGGCACACCTCCCTAGCGCTGAACACCGCATTCATCTTGAACAAATGGGAGTTGGGAAAAGGATCTCTGTGAATGATATGAAAATGAACAGGCTATTTCAGTGTTCACATGTCCTTAGCAGAAGAAAAAGAACTGAGGAAATGTGAGAACAGCACCTCATCCCTTAAAGGAAAACATGGACTGTTGTTTTGCAATCTAACAATTTTAAGCAGTCTCACTCTTTCCTTCTTTTCTATCCTGCCGCAATCAAAGAGATTCTGAGTGGCAAATATAGTCAAACAATTATCCACTGTGAAATCTAAAATTAGACAAAAACATCATGGTTAGCAACAATGACATTATACCAGCACAAACCAACAATAAAGGCCATAAAAATAAAAATTACAGATGGCACCATCAAATCAGGAGAAAGAACTGCCAAGCAACTCATTTTTCCACACTTATCAAAATATCCGCAAAGAGGGGGCTAGCCTCTTCCACAGCACTGCCATTGCTGTAGAAAAGAAATGCCTTTTTGCCTTCGTCCCTCAAACAGCCTGAAAATGTGAGATTTGTAGCAGTTTCTCCCTGGTTGACCAAACTGGTTAGTCTGGTACTAATTCGAGTAGGCGGTCCTATAGGTATCTGGCCATCAAGCCGTAAAGGGCTCTTAGGTCAATCACTGCAGTTGTTAAGTTAGTAACACAGTTGTTAAGTGAATCTGGCTTTCCCAATGGCTTTGCTTGTCAAGATCGCAAAAAGTGATCATGATCTGGGGACACAGCAATAGTGCCAAGTGTCCGAATTTTGATCACGGGACCATGGGGATGCTGCAATAGTCGTACGTCACAGTGAAAAAGGTCATAAGTCACTTTTCCCAGTTCCTTTATAACTTTAGTCAGTAAAACAACAAATGGTTGTTAAGTTGAGGGCTACTTGTACGATTCTTTGCACTTTGGGCTATCAAGGCCCTCATATAATCACACACTGACACACACACTGACTTCTTTGGGGTATTCCTTGGCTTCCTCAGTCATTCAGCATGCATCAGCAATGCCATGTGTTCCTCAACCTTTTCTAAAGGCTGCTTGAACATCTCACATTTCTCTTTGTACAACAGTGGTCCTAAGTATTACTTTGCTAGCATATGAGATAAAGGATATTGTAGGACAATTTGCACCTTCTGCTAAGTCTCCTTTTTAAAATTGGAATTAATCTAATCCAGGGGTATCAAGCTCACCGCGTCACGTGTCATTTCGTGACATATCGTGACTTTTTTCCCCTTACCGGAACTGGAGTGGGTGCGGCTTCCGTGTGAGGCATCTAGCACGTGGGCCAGCAGTTTGACACCCCTGATCTAATCTGTTGGCTACTGTGTCATTTTCCAGATTTGCTGGCATAATAGCTTAGTTACAGCTTTTCCTGATTCTTTTCTTGCCTGCCGTACTTCAAAGAATCTTCTATCAGGTTTTGTCTGATTTTGTAATGACCAGATGGCTGATTTAACTTCATAAGTTACCACTAGAGGTTCTTGTTAGTCAGAAGGATCTTATAAGGTATCTTGTATATTGACATATCTACTGTACACTATTTTAGCATACTCCGTCCATCTTAATTTGATCTCCCTTGAACCTCTTACTACCTATCAGCCAGTCAGTGGAATTTTTTTCTTATTTGGTCAGATGCTTGTGATCTTACACCACTCAAAATGAAAGTTGGGAACAACTACTTTGTAATATTCAAAGATTGACTATAGTTATACTTGTATCTTTTAACACTTGTTGAATGAGAAAAAATATCAACAGAATAACTGTTGGAAGGGACCTTGGAGGTCTTCTAGTCCAACCCCCTTGTCAAGCAGGAAAATCTATACCATTTCAGACAAATGGTTGTCCAGTCTCTTCTTAAAAACCTCCACTGATGGAGCACCCATAACGTCTCAAAGCAAGTCATTCCACTGATCATTTGTTCTGTCCGGAAATTTCTCCTTAGTTCTAGGTTGCTTTTCTCCTTGATTAGTTTCCATCCATTGCTTCTTGTTCTGTCTTCAGGTCTCTGAGAATAGGTTGACTCCCGTTTCTTTGTGGCAGCCTCTTAGATAGTGGAACCCTGCTGTTATGTCACCCTTAGTCTTTCTTTTCAATAAACTAGACATACCCAATTCCTTCAACGATTCTTCATATGTTTTAGCCTCTAGTCCTCTAATCTAATTCTTCTTGAAGCTAGTAACTATTGCATCCCTCTGAGCTGAGCTGATTGGGCAGGACAACCCTAATCATACAGAGCCTGTTGAGACACTTCCTAACAGTGGAACATCTTGCCTTCAGAATTTGTAGGTGCTTCATCAGTGGAGGTTTTAAAGAAGAGGACAGTCACCTGTCTGAAATGGTACAGGATCCCATGCTTGAGCAGGGGGTTGCACTAGACTAGAGGACCTCCAAGGACCCTTCCAGCTCTTTTCTGATTTGATTGAAACTCCACAAGTCTCAGTATCACTCTGCAGCATAATTAAAAACACTCCCCCAAAAAGTGACAGAAGGGGGTTAGGATGCTTCTCTATTTAACCTGCAGGCTTCATCTCTGGCTACCTGCAGAGCAACTTAGGTTGAAAATAAAAGTGAGCTCTTCCATTAGTGTCAATGGAAGCAATTTTTTCAAACCAATTATAATGGAAGGACAATCCTTCATGGACTATTTTGAGATGGGGAAGACAAGGATACTTTTTCCAGTTGATTACAATCTTTATGAAAACCACCTTTTTTTTTGCTCAAAAAGTAGGCCTGAAACAAATTTCCCATTTGTTTTTGGCTGTGGGTTAGTATATAATGAAATGTGAGTAAATGTGACTTGATACAATCATGATACAACCAGAGCACCTTTCCAAACTTTTTGTAAACAATAGAATTAAAAGGTTGGTGCATGTATTTGATAAATCTGATATAAACCTCTAATGCTATTCTGTAGTCACATATTCCAAATTCACGTCTAGGGTTAACTCCAGCCTGTATACAGAGTACTATACAATTAACAAACACACGATATGGATGGGACCATACATTTGGTAACTAGAATAATTAAACATTCTTTCCCGAATCACTCCCCTTCCCAATTTTGCTGTCTTCCTAGCAGGGTTTCCTTTTTCCAAGAAATGAGGGAAAAGAGCCAGAGCGAGGGGGAAAAAAAAGTTTCAGATAGGTATCGTATGAATTTTTCGGCGGGCATTTTACTTAAAAGAGTCCCTACCACCACGACGGCGCCGCTGACTTCGCAATATCACACACGGATCCATACTTTTCGAAGAGAACATGTGAAGCACGCGTATACTGCCGATCCCGGCCCGGGCGGTCTCCGTGGACCACTTTCCATTTCATTTCTGCCCGATTCTTGCTCCGACGCGTCCAATGGGCCGCTTGGAGAATTTAAAAAAAGAGTTTAGATGCGACTGGGGATCCTAAAGCGAGCAAGAGAGAAGGTGAGAGCGGGCTTTAGCGTGTATGCTGCGCGGGGAAGAGTAGATGCGTGCATTCCCTACAACACGCTTCCGCATCCGGACTTAGAGGCTTTTATTTTCCTTCCAACTGCCCTCTTAACTCGGCCTCCACGGGAGAATCGTCCTTCTTGCGGGTGCTGCAGCCTCCTGCAACCCAACCGCTTCGGCGCAATTCTCCGCCCGGCCGCCGGCCTCATCCAGCCTTGGAGCCGCCCCTGCTCGGGCGGAAGCTCCTCCCCGGTTTACTCGCGTGGCTGAAGATGGCGTCTCCCATGGCGAGCCAGGCTGGGGTCGTAATCCGAGATTTGCCTTTGCTCAGAGCCACCCTGCTCAGGAGGCGCAACGCGGTGAGTGCGCCCGCCCCTCGCGGCCAGGCTTCGGCCTCTTAGCGGTCTGCGTCCTCCTGGGGAGAAGTGTCGGGGGGTGCAGCCCGATCCGTCCTGGGCTGCCTCCCAGCGCCCGTCAACTTCTGAGGCTGCTCGGGGTTAAGGTCCCCAGGGTATTTGGTGTTTCTTTGGTCTCTCAGTTAATTCTCAAGAACTCAATACGTGGACCCGTCTCAAACCTCTTCACTTCTTCCCAAGATACGTAGGGACAGGTGTTTTTTTTGGCCGGGGCTAAAGATTCAAGGAACCAAGCAGCCTTCTCCTTAACCCAACGGACTAGTACTTTCCCAATAAAAATTAAAAGGGTCAAGAAAGACGATGGGAAAGCTCTTGCAATGCATTTTTGCCAGGGAAGCAACTCCAAGAATTACAGTGCAATCTGGATTGCAGGGAATCCATACTTCCCTTACTTACTCAGGTGTAAATCTCAACAATTCCAGTGGTTTCTTTCCTTCCTCCCTCCCCCTCTCCCTCCTGGCAAGTCATGAGCTAGTCCCTGCAGCTTTCTTGGCAAAATTTTAGAAGTGTTTTTTGTTTGCTTCCCAGAGCTGAGATAGAGTGACTGACCAAAGGTCAATCAGCTGGCTTCATGAAGAAACTTGAGACTAGAGTCCTGGTCTTCAGGTTTATAGCCTGATGCTTTAACTCAGTGGTTCTCAACCTTTTTAATGCCGCGACCCCCAACCGGTCGTAAGTCGAGGACTAAACCGGTCGTAAGTCGAGGACTTTCCCTGCCCGGGAGTGCTGCGCATGCGTGGTTCCGCCCCCTGTGCCGGCCGAGGTGTAGCTGGCAAGCGGCAGAGACGGAGCAGGCCGACCACCAGCTGGCCCAGCTCAAGGGAGGTAAGGCACCCGCCGGAAAAGAGGAAAAAAAATGGCGGACAGCCTTGCTTGGCGACCCCCGTGAAATGGTCGATCGACCCCAAATGGGGTCGCGACCCATAGGTTGAGAACCGCTGCTTTAACTGCTATATCAGACTGGCTCTCCCCCTACTTCATGGTATATGTTATATACTTTTGGTCTTCCAAACCTGTTGCTGCTTTTCAAGGAGGCAAGGCCTCTATCCTTGGTGGAGGTGACTGAAAATGGGTGCAGTTTTTGCTACAAGGTGAAAACTGGTTATTGAAGAGCTTGAAGATCTCCCTCTGATTTCCCCCTGAACAAGCTTAGCTGATCATTGAAGGTAGGCCAAAGAGCAATTGCCTCCTCTCCACTTGTTTCTTTACCCAACTGAGAAAGTTACAAGAATACAAGTAGTCCTAATGTAATTGCTAACCATAATTGGGACCAGCAACTCTGTTGCTAAGTAGCATGGTCATAAAGTGAAAAGTCATATGACTACACCCGACTCACATCAGCTTGTCAGTTCTGATTGCATTAATACTGTGGGTCATTAAGCAGGATGTCACATAACCACGACTTGCAGGGTCACCCATTAACTTGAATTGTGGGAAGCTGGCCATGCAGGTTGCAAACGGTGATCACATGACCACAGGATACTGCACCTCTTGTAAAGGCACACCACTTGCCCAGCACTGAATCACAATCACGTGGATCCTGGGAATGCTGTGACAGCTACAACTTTGAGGGTTGGTTACAAGTTTCCTTTTTCAGTACTGTCATAACTTTGAATGGTCATTGAACAAGTGATTGATAAATGAGGACTACATGTAGTCAGTATTAACAGTTTCCATAGACAATTGCTTGGTTAGGACTGGTTAATATTTATTAGTTCAATCCTCTGGTTACATTGGCTGAAGGGGAGGATCTACGTCAGTGTTTCTCAACCTTGACAATTTTAAGGCATGTGGACTTCAACTCCCAGAATTCCACAGCCAGCATTGCTGGCTGTGGAATTCTGGGAGTTGAAGTCCACATGCCTTAAAATTGTCAAGGTTGAGAAACACTGATCTACGTGAATAGAGGAGGTGATGCTTCCAGGCCCAAGTAATGGAGGCAAAGCAAGTAGTTGGCCCCATTGCAAATGGAGGTCGAAGTTGTGTGTGAAAGCCCACAGATGCTGCTTGTTCGAATTGCTGCTTCTGTGCCTGCCTAGATTTGACCATGATGGATCCTTGTGAATATAAGGGGGAAAGAGAACCAGCAATAGTGCATAGTACTACATTAGAGGAAGTGGACCACTTCTCTCAGGAGCCTGCCTGCTGTTTCTGTTCACATCAGCTGATTTGCTGTGTCAGCAGAGAACGGAGACATCACAAATCTACTTGCTTTGGTATACAGTTCTAGTTCCTATGGAAATTCTTAGAATATATTTTATGTTTTACTCAATTTATTGTTATTTATTTGATTGTTATAACTGCCCATTTGTTAACAATTGGGTGGCATTCAAGTTGAATAAATAGTTCTTGTTATTAAAATCTAGCCTTTGTTTGAAAACTTCCAGATGAAGGTTACCTCTGCGTTTTGAAGACCGGTTGATATATCACAAACATTGTATTAGGTTGGCTTTTTTTAGATGTTCAAAGTGCATAGGATCAGTAATCTTTATTATTACCTTGTAAAGCAACTTTTACTGGGTGGAAGGCCACACTGGGAAAAAATAGTGGGTGGAGTCAAGGCACAGTAAGTATAATTATCTGTTGGCTTTAAATAAAATGTATTTATTAAACAAATTTATATAGCCACCCAGCTCACACATAGGTGACTCTGGATCAACATTTAAAAAATCTAATGCATAATGAAACCTCATAAAAAAAAATCCCCCCCCCAATGACAGCAACAACGCAATCAAATCAGCCACTTGAACAGCTCCATCTCATTCGTGATTACTAGGCCCATTGACAAAACCAGGTTTTGAGGGCTTTTTGGAAATGCAACAGGGTGGGGGACAGCCACACCTCCAGGGCAATGCTGGCACCATTATTTTCCGGTATTTAATATTTTAATTAATTGTAAATCAGATTAATAATCTTCTATTTTATACATAAAATTAAAATTTGGTAACAACATTTTAGAGTTTGCTGTAGACTGCATCCAATCTTTTGGAGTTGTTTGCGATTTCGTTGAATGATATCTGCTTTTTCCAGGATTCTTCCTAGAATGATGATTTGTACATGCAGAGCTGGTTTGTTGTAGGGAATGACACATGAAGGGGCATAATTCACATTCCCAAAACCTGAGCTGTGGAAGCTGGTGCTATACAAAACCAGAGGCTGTTGGTGCAACCATGGCATATCAGTAGATAAATGTAGATTAAGCTTCTTGATCAGAGCAGTAGTCTTCTGATGCTTAAGCAGGGAGGGAGAAGTAAGATAGTAATAAATAATCTGAATAAGAGCTTAGTGCATTTTACACCATCTGCAAGACAGTAACTTCCTTGTAGCATTCTTGTTCCTGGCATCGGAAGAGGAGCATGCTGCAAAAGAAATGTCGAGGGAGCCTCTACAGGTCAATTTGCTCTCTGCTCCAGCTTTTATTTCTAAGTCTGGATTGCCTGCCAAATGCCCTTTTCTCTGGATCCTTCGCTTCCTATCCTCTCCATGCTCTGTCCATCACTCACTCCCAATTTGGGAGTCCTGCTCAACATTGCATATGCTTCCCTCCTCCAAATATTCTAACTAGCCAGTTTGGTTGAGTGGATAATGCATCAAGTTAGAAATTGGGAGACGGTGAGTTCTATGCACATCTTAGATATGAAAGCTTGCTGGAAAGCTCTCCTTCAGCTCAACCCACTTCGCAAGGTTGTTGTTATGGGAAAAATAGGAGGAGGAAGAAGATTAGATATGTTTGCTGCCTTGAGTTAAGGCATATAAAAATTAAATAAATAAATGAACTATGCCAACAGCCCTGGTAGTCCAAGGCATGCTTTTTTCCATGAGAGAAGAATAGGAGAGAAATAGAGTTATCTGCTCTCCTCCCAGTTTTCTAGATTGCTAGTCTCTCTGTAGCATTCATAGCATAGATTTAGAGCAGTGGTTCTCAACCTTTTTAATGCCGCGACCCCAATCGGTCGTAAGTCGAGGACTAAACCGGTCGTAAGTCGAGGACTAAACCGGTCGTAAGTCGAGGACTAAACCGGTCGTAAGTCTAGGACTACCCAACCAGTCGTAAGTCGAGGACTTTCCCTGCCCGGGAGCGCCGCGCATGCGTGGTTCCGCCCCCTGCGCCGGCCGAGGCGTAGCTGGCAAGCGGCAGCAGGCCGACCACCAGCTGGCCCAGCCCAAGGGAGGTAAGGCACCCGCCGGAAAAGGGGAAAAAATGACAGACAAAAAAAATGGCGGACAAAAAAAATGGCGGACAGCCTTGCTTGGCGACCCCCGTGAAATGGTCGATCGACCCCAAATGGGGTCCCGACCCACAGGTTGAGAACCACTGATTTAGAGGAAGATCTGCCATTGAAAACTGCAACCAGGCTGTGGGCTTTGGGATTGCCCATCTCTGTTTTAAATCAGCTAGTAGATCCTGAAGATTGAAAGCTCCACAGCAAGAAATTTTCCCCTTATTTTCTTGTGCTGCTCACAGTTGGTATGCTTTGATTTTTAACCTTTGATGAAATATCATCAGCTTTAGCCCCACCATCAACTTGCTACCTTCTGCTGTTGTATTGCTAACAGCCTACATGGTTTTTAACTATTGACCTCTTCTCTCTACAATTTCAGTTTCACTGGCAAAAGCTTTTTCCTCTTTAACTCTTTTCTGATACAACATGCTTTATACGTAGTGTTTTCTCTCTAAACTAGGTACCAGTGAATACAAGGTACATGGCAACTGTCAAGTATAAGTTGGCCTGTTTGAGGTTTTGAATACCAGTTGTGACAAAACAAAAACACAGTATGTAGGTGTGTTGAACATAATCTTGTTTTAAGCTGCCAGAAGAAAACCATGGATTTTTAATTAAAACAAAAACAAAATAAAAATGCTTGAAAAATACCAACCTGTTTTTTCAGCTGCAGATTTAAAGAAATAATACTTCAGTAGAACATTATTCATATAATGAAAT